GAGAACGGTAATCGCATGTAACAGCTATGAGAGTGAATACAACACGTCTGAAAAGAATGAGAATTCATCTAAATCAGTTTGAAGTGAGCATCTCATGGACAATAGCTTTTCATGCAATCATAATTGATTGCAATACTGAGGAACACAATGGTCTAAGAGAAGTCCCAGTGATGTCGATTATCCATATCTTACATGTTGCAAATTCGAATCAGTAAAACAATGTTTTCAATAGACAATCGCTGGAAATATCGTGACAGCCTCACCGATAAGTGATTTGAACCCGGTGTGGATGTCTGTGAATGCATCCGTTGTATTGATGTCGCAAGAACGTGGCTCGCGAACAGTTTTCCTTGATGAAAGCTTCTTTATTGGTTATCGTAAAACAATTGTTAAAGCTGATGAAATTCTGGTTGGAATTTGGATACCATATTCAAACGAGGTTTTTGTTGATTTATTGGATACTTTCAACATCAGACATTGTTCAGTGAAAAAAGATAACAGTTCTCGATATCAAACAATAATTTTATTAGATATCACTTGTGCCGTAAAGGATTTCAACATCAAGATGAAAGTTAATCCACCGAGGATTCCGAATATTCTGAACGATTTCGTACTAGATCGAGGATGTACCTTCTGAACTGTTATCCTCCCAATAAGTCATAACAAGTTCCCATTATTTTCAAATGCTGTTGATTAATTTCCACATCTTACATTACTGAGTGGTGCGCATTGTTCTTGATTTTCCCTTTATGATCTATGTTCTCGTGGCCATGACTTTTCGAAAAATAAAAACATTGCAGACTTACTAAAGCCAACATTATCGCATGTGTAGATTACTCATAAATGTTATCCATCATTCCAGAACCAGTATGTGAAGGCATTCAAGCAAGCACAACGAAGGGAAGATGATATCTCAATAGTGACCTCATCGATGATGGTACAGTTCAACGAAAACGCTCCTCACACTGTCGATTCAATGCGAATCGCGTACGGTGGTATGGCACCAACGACAAAATTGGCTATTTGCACGAATAAATCATTGCGTGGAAGGTTCGTTAATTGATATTTGTTACGAGTGAAGAAATACTTTCAGAATGCGTAAAATGAAATGAGATCAGAAACGGTTTCCTTGGATCATGTGAAGATCAAACCAATAAGTCGATTTTGGATGTTAATATTAGTTCTTGATTATGATATATTGCAATATGTTCGATGTTCGGCGCAGCTCCGATACTTCAGAGAATGTGTGGTGTATTATTTGAGAGTGTTTTTTCAAGGGGGAGTTTATTCAGCTGTTTTACGCAAGTGGCAACATACCGAGTTTCAGGCGCTGGGATGAGGAATTACTAAACGATGGTATTAGTGAACTGAATGCGGAATTCGATTTGCCAGTGGATGTACCCGGTGGGATGGCGAAATATCGACAAGCATTGGCACTTTCCTTCTTTCACAAATTCTACATCTATGTTAAGGAACAGATTCAGGTCGCAATACTGCATGAATTCCAAAAAGTGCTTCAGTGCGAGCGATCCTAAAACGATCAATTCCACGCCCAAAACAGTCTCCAAATATGAATGCGAACAATTTTGTGACATTGATACCTAAACATCATTACAATGTAAACTTGAAGAAAACTGGCAATTACAGTCTAACGATAATTGGATTGTTGGTAAGGACAGGTGCAATATCGATCATCCAGAACAGAAACTGATAAGTTCACAAATATTCCAAGTAAGATCGAATGCTTCTAAACGGTTACATCAAAACGGTTGCATATCCATCAAATTTTCATATTCGTTCGACCTTCAGTCAAAAATTGATATCGATTTACACTGATCACGTTCAAAATTGCCTCTGATTCAGGACGTGCCAAAGACTCAATCAAATATTGATCCGATTGGAAGGCCCTTCATGCATCAATCTGGTATCAAACATACCACTGGTGAGGCAAAATACTGCGACGATTATCATCCTCAAGGTAGCAGTAATCATAATCGCAGAGTTCTTCTTTTGTTTGGGCTTGTCATACGTAAAATTCATTCTGCTGATTATCACTGCCTCCCATGAAGAAATGACTCTACCTGAAAGATCACAACACAAAGAGGCAAAATTTGACTTTCGAGATTGGTGGCCGATCAGCCTGAAAAGTAGCCTAAAATGTTTCATTTTCTGCATTCAACGCATTGCTGATTGTGAAGCATCTATACTATCGGAAAGTTCTTATTGCAGATGCTCTGAGTATGGTACTGGTATTGTCACCGATTGCGTGTGGTACATTAAACTCAGTGGATTGGAGTGAGGCACTGAGGCAGCAGGGAGTGCGAGGTTATGTGGATCATCATGATGTTCGGGACAATGCTATGCTTGGGCATGCAAATGACACGCCAATTTTTGTTAAAGATAAAGTCAGTTCAAATTCTCTCCGTTTCCACTGATTCTTGAACATTTCTTGATAAATTCGAACGTTGATAAGTTATTGGTCTGAAGTGAACTGAAACTTGCAAACGTCAAGAATTGGCTTAGTACATTGTAAATCGATCCAACAACAAGGCATCCTTTTTCTGAATTCTAACACGAAGCGTATGAACAATTCCTTGAGCTGTGTGCCGTCAATGTAAATTTCGTAAGCGACCAATTCATCAACGAACAATTGATAAAAGTTTAGAGACTATGAACTAATCAAAAAATAGTCTCTTCCAGATTTCATACCATTGTCAACCAGTTGGTGCGATTGTAGCAGATGATCATGAAACGGCGCGTAGAGCAGCAAATCTGGTCATCATGAATTACACTGAGCAGAAGCCAATTGTCACGATTGAGGTCAATACATATTTGTTGTAATTAACTAAGATTTTTTCATCGCTTTCGCTGCTTCTTATGATCGAATGAATTAATTGGTTCGTTAAAAATTTAAAAGTTTATCCCTATTCTGGCTTAGCTGCTCTATAATGGCTGCAGTTGCAAGTAGTAGTTGAACTGACAGAGCGATATTTGCAAACTCTTATTTGTAGCCTTCTGCTAATGAAATATAGAAGAGTAGTTACAAGAACGGCTAATTCAGGAGGCCGTGAAGAACGATTCTTATTTGATGACGGATCCTTTTGTGGTGAAGAGTTGTTTGACTGAAGACTATGGTGATCATGATGCGGTGACTGACGATTGGTCAAAATATGATCATGTTGTTGAGGGATCAGTTCGAATCGGTGGTCAAGAGCACTTCTACTTTGAGACACAAAATTGTATTGTGATACCGGGTGAAGGTGATGAAATGGAAGTCATCTCATCAACACAAGGCGTTGATGATGTTCAGGTGATTGTCGCAACAGCGAAAATTTTAGTCATAATTATTCACGATCAGTTCAATTGGAAAATTTTGTTGCAGAGGCTGCCTAAAATGTTGAACAATCAGCAAAATATTCACGTAAACGATCGTAATGCTTCCAGTTATTCTCAAACCTTGTCCAGGCTA